TTGCCGCTCTCCGGAGCGCAGCGGCCCCGCGCGGGCCGGTGTCTCCCCCCGTGCCTCGGGGCCTGACTCGCTGCTGTCCGGCAGCAGGCGGTGGGGGCAGCCCCTCTCACCCCCCCCATGGCTCTATCCTGCGTATTGAGGCCACCGAACTGGCACCTCCGCCCTCTGCCTTTCGCGCTGCTCAGCCTGCCCGGTCGGGACCGCAGCCTGGTGACAACGACAGCAGCAAAGTGGAAGGGGAAGAAGAAGGCCAGGAAAGATTGCAGCCTGCCAGAGTCTTCTTGGGAGGAGAGGTATGGCTCTTCCAAAATGACCAAGCACTCTTCCAAAGCAACAAGCACCTAAAGCTGTGAAAACGGTGGGTTGTGGGGATTTACCTCCACCCAGCTCTTCCAGTAAGAATAGAAGAGCCAGGGCTCAGCTGTTTTCCGTGGAGTTTGGCTTAGGGATAGGAATAATGGAAAAGACAAATGAAAAGAGAATGTTATGCTGTAGGTATCAGGGATGAGTAGTTCTGGGCACTGCCATGATGTTGTGCTTTCCAGGTTAGCCAACGCGGTGACTCCACTGTGGAGACTTCCCTATAAGGAGCAGCTGCAGGTGAGATGTACTTACACAGACTTTTCTCTGTTGCGTTGCTCCAACTGCCCCTCCTATCCCCTTAAACAATAGCCCTTAGCATCTTAATGCTGTAAACTCTTCAGACCCCATTCACTGCTACTTTGATTCTTCAGTTATCACGAAGGATAGAACTGGGAGGTTCCTAATGGTACAGAGGATAGTTCCACAGTGATCCTGTCCTCTGTGGGACAGCTGGTTCACTGGGGCTTCAGGCTGGACCTGGCCAGTGCTTGAGGACCATGGGCACAGGATTTTTCTCTCTTCCTGTTGCTCTAGGCAGCTGTGGTGATGAAATGGGTAGAGTGCCTCTGGGGCTATATTTTTACTCGCAATATTTCCTCCTGTCGGACTTCCCAGAGGTGGGGGATGAAGATCTGCTCACCATCATGTGGTCCTGTGAGAGTGTTTCTGGCTTAGAACTCCTCTGCAGGTGAAATATGAAAGCCAGAGGAAGGTTTTGCAGACACTGGCATCTCATCTGGAGGAACTTGGCATAGGTGCACAGAAACCTGGTGGGCTCT